TTCCGCTGGTGGGAGCCGCCCATCGGCCTGCATCCGGACCATGGCCACGTCGGCGGGGTTGCCGACCGCGGCGCCGATGCCCCCGGCGATGAGGCCAGCGGCAACCTTGCGGTGGAGCGGGATGGACCCGCCGTCACCGGGCGCGGACCAGCGCTTCTTCAGCATGTCGTAGAGGCCCATGCGCGTGGTGGAGTAGAGGGTCTGTCGGAGGAGGGTGGCCGAGACCCCGGAGAAGAGCCCCGCGGGACCCTCAGCACGGAGGATCTGCGCGCCCACCGCGATCGGGCCGGGGCGCCGTGGCGGGGTCAGGGGAGGATGATGGTGGCGGAGGGTGGTCATGCCGGTGGCCCCGTGAAGAGCGACAGCGGGACGAAGGGCGGAGACCGAGGGGCTGATGGCCTCGCCTTGGAGCTGCATGCGGACCTTTATGAGGTCGAGAGGATGGGTGGAGCATCCGGCGACGATCGAGGCGATGCCTCCTTCAAGGAATCCTTTGAGGCCCATCTCTTGTTATGTGGGGAAAAATTACACCAACCAAAGAATAATTCTCAAGGTGGCTCCTTTAGGCGAAAAGGGTCGACAAAATCCCAACTTTAGGCAGACTCGAAGGGAAGGAAAGCAAGCTCCTTCCGCTCGATGTGGCAGGGAAAGGGAATTCTACGACTACAACAACAACTATTACCAGTTGGAGTTGGGGTTCATCTCACTGGAGACAAGGAGATGGGAGTGGAGGGCGAAAGCTACGGAAGAGGAGTGCGGGACGCTGGGCTGCTGACATACGCTGCGGTCAAGTGCGAGTTGGAGGCGAGGCGGTGGGAGGGTTATTTATAGCATTGGCAGAGCTCCCAATACCACAGGAGAATAGGAGAGGACGCCGAAGGAAACAACGGTGGGGAAACGACCGGTGACGAGAGTGAGAAGGGTTCTTCTTAATTAAAGCCCGGCCTACGATTTTGGAATATTCGTCCCTGTTGGCATTCATGGAGGTCCGATCAAGGCCGTGTAGCAAGGATCGAACGGTCGTCCATGCGACGCCGTAGCCCTCCACCCACCATCGGTGGTGGCGCGACGGGGTCGTCGCCACCCCAGTCCACACGTATTTTCCATGGCGTAATTTGCTGTTCCTTTCCAAGTACGTTGGGGATGCCGCTTTCGCACTGCCCGTCCGCCCTTCGCGCGAACGGCCGTTGCCTCGGCTATTTGGTGGGGCCCGGAAGTCCGATCGTCACCACCTCCGATGGCGGGCGGAACTTTTCTTCTCGCACAGGGCGTACGCCGACCATCTCACCTACGCGATTTTTCATTGGAAATCCTCGTGGGCTCCACGAAAAGGGCATCATTACATCCAACGACATTAGCAGGTTATCCGTACTCGTACGAGGAACTAGTAATAGTGGCGCTACTTGGAGATAGGAGCGAGACTGCTTCCGAGTCTTCAGTACGTGGTTTACGTGTGAGGAACGGATTACGAGGCATGTCAATGACGGCGCGACCGTAGGAACACGGTAAGGCCGGGGAGCTCTCGGAGCACCGGAAGAGGTGGGAAGCCCGTATGGACTTCGAAACGTGGAACTCGGCTGGTTGACTTTGACCGTGGTAAACGATGTGATACTTTATTATTTAACCATTTAATCTTTATGTATTTATTATTATTGTACATCCAAAATCTGCTGCTGGTAATATATTAATGGATGTCTCAATAACACCGACAAACCGTAAGCTAATGTAGGTCACTTTGCAGCGTGTTTAGTTCTATATAAAATAATATTGTTAATTTAATTAATTTTTAAAATATTAATAATTCTATAAGAGAGTTATACTTCATTTTTTATGAATTAAATTATTTATTATATATATTTTCTAATAACTAAACACGAGAACTTTTTTTATTATAATTATTAGGATGAGTCGGAACTAAGAAGACGGTGAATTAGTGAGTACGTAAAAATTACGTCGAATTAAGAATCTTCGTATGATAAAACTGTATCAAGAAGTGTTTAACTTTAAAACCGTTCATAAGAGTGTGCAGCTGAAGTAACGAAGAAGTAAAGTAATTTACAATAAAGGTAAATAACAAACAAAAATATAAACTAATTTATAGTGGTTCGATCATTGTAACTTACATCCACTATCGGTTTTTTTTCAATGGGCGAAGACCAATTATCCTCTTATAATAAATTTTTTTTTTTTACATGTTTAGAAGATAACCTTTATATGTCATTCTTTTACTAGTAATCCCTCACACATCTTTCCTATGACTAACTCTAAGCACTACTAAGAGGGAACTCAAAGTTTTAACATAGTTTACTTAATTTTTTCTTCAAAAATTCTTACTTCGTGCTGCCTAGATTTATTATTCATAGCATCCACCCCTTAGATTTTAATGTCAACAAATATATTATTCCTAATTATGCTCGCACGTAGTTATGGTCACGAGTGATGGGTGGATCGTCAACACAAGCTTTTGGGTTTCTGGGATTTGCACACATGCTTTTGCACTTCCATTCATGTGACCTCACCCAAGTCTCCCTCCCCTGTTGGGTTTCTGGGATTTGCCGCTTAGGTGTCAAGTAGCCGCGTCAACTCGCGGGTGATTCTGTGGTCGATGGACCATTAGGTTCATTTTTGTGCAGCGTTTGTTATTAATGTCGCGATCTGTACCGTAGGATCGTAGGGACAAGCGATTCTACGGTCCAAATCAAAGCTACGAGCTGACCCAATTGTGGAGTCGGATGCATACCGAGGCACGAGTCGAGATCGAGTTTCCCGAGTCGACTCGAGTTTACTAGCTATAAATTACAGTCGTCGAAGACGCTGGATTCCTTGAAGTCCGACCCGAACGGCGAGCCCTAGCAAAGCAAGCCAAGGCCGCCGCCGCCGACGAGATCCGTCAATCCGGTCATTGCCCACCGCCTTCCGGTGCTCTTGACTGGCCTTTAACGTCCAACGGCCTCCCTTGGTTATTCTTAAGTCTCTGCTGTCGTCTCTGCCTCCGTTGCCGTTGCCCCCGTCGAGATCCGGCCGTTGAAGCCCAGCCGCCTCCCTCTGGTACGATCTTCTCATTGCTTCTCCCCTTCGACCACGACTCTCTCCTTTTTCTGGGATGGCCTCCCTCCGCCATCTAACTGCAGACTCCTTTCTCAGCCTCACTTACCGCCCCTTCGTTTGAGGGGCGATGGTCGCTGTGAGCAATCGACCATCTGTCGCGTTAAATTGGCATTTTTATTACGTTGATCATTCTTTTTCTGTATATTTGATGTTGTATGTGTTCAATTTTTGTGAATATTAAGGTTTGCCCTTTTGTTCAATTGTTCTGTGGAACGAGGGTCAAGATCCTGCTTTTGCGTTAGTTTATAGGCTTTGAGAGGGTCTCATGGTTATAGTTAGTGAAATAACCCCAGGAAACTGCCAAACAGCCTTCAAGAGACATTTCTTGTATGATGTTATTGGTAATGGAGTATAAGCAAAATCTTTTGGGGTGGCTTCTTATAAATGTTGGTGAGTTAAGTTGTTTCTGTCGTCTGTCTATCATAGGGATTATGTTTGATAAAGGCACGAGAGGACGGAGATTGGTAGTGCCCAACAATGAGTATGCTCGCACAAAGTTTCATGTATCAATTAATATACGTGTTTTAATGTGAAGATATTTAGTGGGTGATGAAGCACATCGTTAGGCAACCAGTGGGCCTTGTTTTATCCTTTGGGGTAACCCTAAAATATTCTTTGAGGAGAGGAGGTTTGGAGACTTTTATTAGCTTTCCAACTCTTTAACTAATGTGGCCTCATCAGTCCCCCCAGTTGAGAGAAAAGGGTTTACTGGCCGTACACTTGGCGACATCTAATGTAGCACATCATTAGGATATGATGAACCCTTGAGGTATTGCCCATACACAAGGTGAAATTCAAAAGGCACCTCGAAGACAAGAAACTTAGAGGCTCCTGTAAGGCCTTGTCTCTTTAGCTCAGTGGAACAATATGGTGAATCAACTGCAAGTGGTGGAACAATACTGGAGAAGATAGAGACTTATCATGTGATTTCTCGTCGGTGGAACAATACTGGAGAAGATAGAGACTTATCATTCGATTTGGTTTCAGGGTTTACTACGTTTCTTTCTCTTTTAATTTATGCAGTCTGTTTTTCTTCTTGTTCTTGTCGATTCAGGCGGCCCTGCGTAGCGCCGTGTTTCTTTTGTGTCTGTCGAAAACCTAATTTGTTTTATTTTCTCTCGCACCTCCGCCTCGTTCTTGCGTGGTTGTAATATCTGTTGGATTCAAATATATTTATTTTCTGTATTTTCTATCTCCGATTTTGTTAAAGTATCTACTTCGCTGCATTCGTCCCCTTGAATTTTTCTTCCGATTTGGTTATCTCAAGTGCCTTACGAACCCAAGAGTGGTGCATTTGGATGCTTATATTGATCATTTATAATGTTCTTTTGTTAATTCTCTGATAAGATCTCATGAATCATCTTATAAATTCCTTTGTGGTATTGGCATTCATCAAAATCTTGCATCAACTGTCTTATTCCTGTATTTAATTGTAGCTACACAACTGAAGTTGTTGCGGATTGGGGTGTTAAGATATGTTTGAATTAAACTATTATAGGGCTGATCTGAATTGAATCTGTTTCTGGTTTGGTTACTTGGTTCAATTAAAGTAAGGTAGGTTTGATCTGGAACCATTTCGCTTAAAGATAATTAATCCAGTTCAATTGTTTATAATTTTAAAAATATTTTTTTAAAATTTGATTTATTTTACTTGTTTGATTTACTAAAATAATTGAAGTATATCTCTTAATATTTAATTATTTATAATTAAAAACAAATAAATATTGTAATTTAAATTCTGTCGGATTTCGGGCGAATGGGATTTACCTGGATTCGACTTGATTTCGCAGTCCTAATATGCACACCTCTCTTTTTCTGCGACCGCGAAGTCCTAATATCTTTTGAGAGACAGGACTTCTGTAGACGACGGCAGAGCTTCTGGTGGCGGAGAAGTATCATGGATTTGGGCAACCTCATGGCGTTCGATCCTACCCACCACTTCGAATCTGTCCCCTCCTCTAGGTTTGTGACGGTCATCCTTCGCTCCGGTACTTGTAGCCAAGCCTTTTTGCAAATTGCGTCCTGGATTAGTTTCTAAGCCACGCTAAAACCCTAAACTTTTGCTCCGTGCTGTTTGAAGTATGAACGTTTCCATTGCATCTGTTGCTGTTATCTGAGTTCGATTACTTGTCTTTGTTGTGATGATTAGGCAGGAGCTGACGAGGGCGTGCCTGGAGAAGGGCACGGAACTGGTCCAAGCCATAGCCAATGCTGTTTTCGCCCTTCCATCGACCGATGACCCTGATGGTCCCATCGTTCGGCTGCCCCCGCCAACTACCGCGCTTCCGAGGGAGAAGCATGTATGCTTCGTCGCCCTTTGCTGCTTCTTGCGTTTTCATTCTGCTTATATTTTGCGTTGTGTGACAGATTTCCTTAAGTGGGCATGTTTATGTCATTATTTTGTTTTTTGAAGAATCCGAAGCAAAATACATATTGTTTTCTTTTAAAATATGAATGATAGGCAAATAAAAAACATAAAATCTTTTGGCCCATAAGATTTGGATGATGAGTTATGTAACCTAGATCCAGGAACAACTATTACATATAATGTGGTGTAGCAATAATCAGGAAGCACCGAAGCAGCTTGATTTTTCTGTTTCCAATTGTGGATAGATGCTGCAGATGCATGGAATGCCGTTATCACATTATTGCTTCACTTTGATTTGTTTCTGATCATTACACAATCGTTAGGATACAGTGGTTTATTTGTAATGTGTCTCTGAGGCCATATTCTTGGTATCATATCTAGTCTTCCTTCCAAATACTGGTACCTAATGCTAATAAGTTATTCTTGTTTGCCCCTTGCCTTTTGCTTTAGCCTTTAAGTCATTGATTCTTTTAGCACAGCCTAATGATTATGAAGTCTATCGAGCTTAAGAGTTAAGGCATGCTGCTTTGATTTGTTTATTTAAACTTGTTCCATTGTTCTGAAACTACATGGTAGTCTCTAACAAATAACTACATATAATGGTTGCTGTTGTGGATTCATATTCATTTCCTCCAAACAGTTCCATGCATCATCTGCAACTCTACAATTTAATTCTAGTGTTGCATATTTATTTGATGACACTGATTCAGCTTTGTTTCTTTACAGCTTCCGAAGCCTAAGCCTCCTACAAAGTGGGAGTTGTTTGCCAAAATGAAAGGTCAATTTAACAGAACCTTTCATGTTCCAAAGTGGACTGATTGTGCTATGAAAATGTTTTATTTTCCCTTACAGACATGCCACTAATTTCATCTAGTGGGATGTACTCATCTGGCTTGTCAATCGTTCTTGCAGGGATAAAGAATCACAAAAAGGACAAGCGTGTTTTTGATGAACAAACTGGTACTTGGAAGAGACGTCATGGCTATGATCGTGTAAATGATGATAAAGACATACCAATCATCGAGGCCAAACTATCAGATGGTAATGGTTTGTCTTACATGGATCTTGCCACAACTGGTTTTTTCTTTGTAGAATCTCTAGTTGCAAAGAGATTATTCTTTTTGGGTAAATTGACTCTAGTGAGATCTCATACAAACTTTTACTTGTCTAAATCATAAGAAAGGAGAACATTTGCTCCGTAGTGATGGAAGCTTTGAAATGGCATCCATTGCTCTAATAGTGATTACAACATGCTGGCAGTTGAGGATCATCCAGCACACGTGCATTATGCAGCCATATATGAAGGCCTACACAGTTCAAAATACGGTGAATAATTTATAACCAAGTACAAAGAAGTGCATAGACAACGAAGTTTAAATTGCTGAGTGGATAAAAATAAAATATGGTTTAATTAAGAACACATGGGATGATATTTTTATCCTCATTTATGTATGTGGGTAAAATTATATTTCCATGGACTTCATTTTATAGGATTCAAATTGTAAATAGTAGAAAAATAATAGAGGATGAAACGTAGAGCACATATGCAGTAGTTTTTAAATGCTCGTGGATAGCCTATGCAACTGCTTAGGTATTGTAGCTCTATAAGTAGCATATATCATAAGTGTCTGCACAGGTATTTGTCATTGCATATGCAGCCTCTTGTTTGGCATATGCTGTAAAAACCATTTCTCTGGGCCACTTAGACTAACAATGATGACTATTTATTCATATGTACCTGACTTCTTTTTGTAGGTGTAATTACCATTAGTTCAGAAGTCATATACAAGCAAGTTGTTAAGTTAGAATAATGCTGATTAGGAAATGAAACTCTTACCAACTATCGTGGGTATTGTTAATAAGAGTAACCAGTTATGGTAAAGCATACTTTGGATAATAAGCAAGTTGTTAAGTTAAAATAATGCTGATTAGGAAATGAAAATCTTACCAACTATCATGGGTAATTTTAAAAAGAGTAACCGGTTATGGTCAAGCATACTTAGTATAACTTGTGGATGCATATCATTTGTGGTAATATTTTTTCATTTTTCAGACCTAAAGGCTTAAGTTGAATGTTCTAAGGATGCATTACTTTTGTATTTTCTATTTAAAACCACATATCATACAACTAGTGCTGGATTTCTTGACCTGATGCATCAGCTTGGTAAAAATATGAGAAAAATCTAGCCACTTATGCTTGAGATTTTATGGGTTTGGGTTGTAAACTGGTTGACATTTAACCCAATTTGTTCGAGTTTAATCAACCAGAAAATTGATCTGGCTAATAATTCTGGGTTGTGTTAATTATACTGTGTGCAGGTCAAGCGATCTTGAATGAGCCAAATTATGTAAAACTATTTGGTTCTTTAGGCTCTTCGTAGGTTGAAAGTTTAGCTTGATGTATAGGTTTAAAATAGAAAGCCTATATATTAGATTGCCATAGCGGCATGTTTAAATATTGAAAATGTATCTTTAAATAATTTGGTCACTGACTTGTATCTCGTAGTCCTGTTCTTGATTAGACCCTTTGAGGCTGAATCCATGTGTTCTATATTAGATCCGCATCCATGTTTAATGCTAGGATCATGTCTGCGGTTGAAACTCCCTATAAAAGTCCCGGAAATGTGCCTACAGGAGTGTTGGGCAACATTTTTTTCTTACTGAAATTTCAAACGATGACCATGACACTACTGTGTTTGGTCATCATTTTGCACTTGTGTTGAACAAACTTGCTTCCATTTTCAGGTAGTGTGTTTTTGCATCAGTACTGGTTACTTCTCCCTTCAGTTATTAAGTGGTTGAAGCATCATGTACTATGAAAAACCTATTTTTTGGTTAAATCGGCCAAGCAGGTAGCTGGGGGTAATTTGGTATGATTCCTTCATTTCCTGGTAATCAGAACTGTTCTCATTGCAGAACCAGGAGAAGATCCCTTCAGCAAAAGGAAGGCTGAAAAGAAGCAACGGGTTGAAAAGCAAGAGAAGAACCGGCTGCAGAATTTAAAGCAAGCTGCAAAAGCTGGAGCCTTGCCAAGGTTGTCTTTGTTTTCGGTAAACTTTTGATATATATATATATATATATATATATATATAGACATGCTGTCATTCATTTCTGCACCAAATATGCAAAATAAGATACTGAGAAGAGAGGAACATCTAGCTATTGTATCTAATTACCTGTACCTTCATTCTTCCTTTGCAGTCATGTTCAGCTTGCTGCCACAGCATTGCCCATCACTGGAACCCATGGAGAGGCACCAAAGAAAGCTAGCAAGGAAGAGCTCCAGAATGTTGCTGGTATGGCAGCGACAGCAACAGCAAGTGGTGGGAAATTTGACAAAAAATTGCCTGGAGAAAAACCTGCCAAGCATGCCGGGAAGTATCGTAAGGTTGGTACTGGCTTGGTCGTTCTTTCTAGAAAAGTATTGTATGCTAGTGATTCTTGTTGATTGTGTTCCTTTTGTGTAGTTTCTCCCTGTTGTGGAGGGAAAAGGGATGAGCTCACAAGAAAAACAACAAACAGCAAAAATTCTTGACCAGCTGATGAACAAAAGCTCTCATGGCATGCTCGATGTCAACAAGGCAAGATTTCTTATTTGTACATCCATGTTCAGTTTATTTACTTCTGCCAAAGATCTTTCTTTATGTCATATATATATATATATATATTTGTGAAACAGGCTGTTACAATGTTCAACGTAAAGAAAGAAAAGCAGAGGAACAAGGAAAAGGAACACAAGACATCTTCTGCAGCAAGTAAACTGAAGCCAAAAAAGAAATCCCTTAAGAAATCTTCAAAAAAGAAACATTAGACAGTGGCACTTTGAAATGCATGAGGAGCAGTAAAATTGTTGGGAGTTATTAAAGAGATACAGATTACTGCGAGTTCAATGTATCAGTGGCGAATGACATCCTTTTCTTGTTTCATTAGATGTCATGGACAAAATCTATCTTGCTGCCTTATGGCCTTGACCAATTGCATTCGATAATCAATTTTGTAACTTAGATTTATAGTTGTTCGACTTGGTTGGGAACTTGTAATCGTTATGATGAATTCATGATGTGGATGTTATTTTCCGATACAAGAAAACATTGAGATATGTTCATTATAGCAGGTTCAGTAGACCACAGATACTCGACAGAAAGGATGTCAATTCATTCGATTCTACGACAAAGATTTATTCCTTTTAGCTCATGGTCTTATCTTTTTTTCTCACATGAAATCAAACAGCTGAGTGCTGACAAAACTAACACCAAAACTTTTGATTGCTTAAACATCTCAAAGCATTTGTCGACCTTTAGGATGTTCAACAGGTTAAAAAGTTTTTGACATTCCCACTCACTTGACCACTAGATTACAACACGCAAAATATATCTTTATCCTTTATATATGGTTGTCAGTAGCTACAGTAGCTATTATTCCTCTCATCGACTTGCAATAAGTCTCATAAAAGCATCTATGTGGTTGCTAAATTTAATGACACCCTGAAAGATTAAAATTGCATCTCATTATTCATCACCCTACGTTGTCGTATTCATCACCTATCTCTTTTCTCGATTTTGACAAAAAGACCAATATACCCCTTACAGGTACAGTGTAAAGATGGTACCGAGTGAAATATCTGTGACCTACCTTCTAAAAGACAATTATACCCCTAAACGCACCTCCAATGTAATCTAGATTATAAGGGCATTCATGGGATAGGACGACTGCTAATTTTTCCTTTACTAATTGTAAGGGCATTCATGGGATAGGACGACTGCTAATTTTTCCTTTACTAATTGTAAGGGCATTCATGGATAGCGGGGGCTAATCCCTCTCACCCGTCCCCCTCCTCGCTGCTATAGCGCGAGG